AAAAGGGGTAATTTTTCTGATATGAGGGGACATGTGGGGAGGAAACTGAAGGGAAAAGTAGAAAGGGTCAAAACCATTGGGGAAGCTTGGAAACTGTTTAAAACTACAATTCTAGAAGCTCAAATAAAATATATTCCGCAGGTTAGGAAAGGCACAAACAGGTATAAGAAAAAGCCTACATGGTTAACAAACAAAGTAATGGAAGCTGTAAAAGGTAAAAAGGATTCCTTTAAGCGGTGGAAAGCTAGTCACAGTGAGGCTGATAAAACAGAACACAGGCTATGGCAAATAAAATGCAAGTCTGTGGTCAGGCATGCAAAAAGGGAATATGAGGAGCATATAGCAAAAAATGTAAAGACCAACAATAAAACTTTCTTCAAATACATTAGAAACAGGAAACCAGCCAGGGAGGCAGTGGGGCCCTTGGATGACCAAGGGGTAAAAGGAGTACTGAAGGATGATAGGGAAATGGCTGAGAAGCTAAATGCATTTTTTGCCTCCGTCTTCACTGTGGAAGATGAGAGGTGCTTGCCCACTCCAGAGCCGCTGAGTTCGGGAGGGGTGTTGAAAGACCTGAGTCAGATTGAGGTGACGAGAGAGGAGGTCCTAAAACTGATAAACAACTTAAAAACTGATAAATCACCAGGCCCAGATGGCATACATCCAAGAGTTCTGAAAGAACTCAATTGTGAACTTGTGGATCTCCTGACAAAAATATGTAATCTCTCCTTAAAATCAGCCTCCATTCCTGAGGACTGGAAGGTAGCTAATGTCACTCCCATCTTTAAAAAGGGTTCCAGAGGAGATCCGGGAAATTACAGGCCTGTCAGTCTGACGTCGATACCGGGTAAATTGGTGGAAACCATTATTAAGGAAAGAATTAGTAGGCACATAGATGAACAAAACCTATTGAGGCAGACTCAACATGGGTTCTGTAAGGGAAGATCTTGTCTCACTAACCTGTTAATGTTCTTTGAGGGGGTGAACAAACATGTGGACAAGGGGGATCCAATAGATATTGTTTACCTTGACTTCCAGAAAGCTTTTGATAAAGTTCCTCATCAAAGGCTCCTAAGCAAGCTCAAAAATCATGGGATAAAAGGACAAGTCCTTTTATGGATCAAAAACTGGCTAATTAATAGAAAACAGAGAGTGAGTATAAATGGGCAGTTCTCCCAGTGGAGGGGTGTAAGCAGTGGGGTACCACAGGGATCAGTACTTGGTCCACTGCTTTTTAACTTGTTCATTAATGATTTGGAGTTGGGAGTAAGCAGTGAAGTGGCTAAATTTGCGGATGATACGAAGTTGTTCAGGGTGGTGAAAACCAGTGAGGATTGTGAGGCACTCCAAAGGGATCTGTCAAAGTTGGGCGAGTGGGCGTCAACATGGCAAATGGGGTTCAATGTGGCCAAGTGCAAGGTGATGCACATTGGAGCCAAAAATCCTAACTATAAATACACGTTGATGGGGTCTGAACTGGCAGAGACAGATCAAGAGAGAGATCTTGGAGTTGTAGTAGATAACTCACTGAAAATGTCGAGACAGTGTGTGACTGCAATAAAGAAGGCCAATGCTATGCTGGGGATTATTAGGAAGGGTATTGTAAACAGATCAGCCAATATCATAATGCCGCTATATAAATCAATGGTGCGACCTCATCTGGAATACTGTGTGCAATTCTGGTCACCACACCTTAAAAAGGATATTATAGCTTTGGAAAAAGTGCAGAAAAGAGCAACTCGAATGATAAAAGGGTTGGAACACTTTCCCTATGAGGAACGGTTAAGGCGCTTAGGGCTCTTTAGCTTGGAGAAACGACGACTGAGGGGTGACATGATTGAGGTTTATAAGATTATGCATGGGAAAGAGCAGGTAGAGAAAGAGGTACTTTTCTCCCTTTCTCACAATACAAGAACCCGTGGGCACTCCATGAAATTGCTGAGCGGTCAGGTTAGAACTGATCAAAGGAAGTACTTCTTCACCAAAAGAGTGATTCATTTTTTATTTATTTTATATATTTTATCGAACTTATACCCCACCCTCCCCGCAAGCGTGCTCAGGGCGGCTTCCAATAAAAACATAAATACATTAAAATACACAACATTCATCATACAATAAAACATTATAAATACAAAGTGCTGGCGGCAGATTAAAACTAATCTAGTTGGTAAATTACAGAAATAAATTGCCACTGCCCAGATGTCCGCGATGTTTTCTGCTCTTAGTCCATATTGTTGTTAAAACCACAGGCTGTGTTCAGTTGTAACAATCTGCAGTGGGAACCTGCAGTAGTGTGAGCCTGCAGTAGCGGCGGCCCCTACTTAAATGCCTGGTGGAAGAGCTCCGTCTTGCAGGCCCTGCGGAACTGTAAAAGGTTCCGCAGGGCCCTGATCTCCTCCGGGAGCTCATTCCACCAGGTAGGGGCCGTCACTGAGAAAGCTCCGGCCTTGGTGATGGCTAACTTGGCCTCCCTCGGGCCAGGGAGGGTCAACAGATTTTGAGATCCCGACCGTAGTGCTCTCTGGGGTATATACGGGGAAAGGCGGTATCCCTTAGGTAACACATGGAATTCACTGCCACAGGAAGTGGTGACGGCTACAAGCATGGACGGCTTCAAAAGGGAATTAGATAAGCATATGCAGCAGAGGTCCATCAGTGGCTATTAGCCACAAGGTATAGATAGGGACTCTGGGGCAAGTGATGCTCTGTCATCTTGGTGCTTGGGGGGGGGTCAACAGTGGGAGGGCTTCTAATGTCCTGGCCCCACTGGTGGACCTCCTGATGGCACTGGTATTTCTGGCCACTGTGTGATACAGGGTGGTGGACTGGATAGGCCTTTGGCCTGATCCAACATTGGCGTCTCTTATGTTCTTATGTTCTTATCAGGCCACCTTCTGTGCTCCATTTGGAATTTTGGGGTGATAACACTGGCCCTGGTCCACCTGGCCCTGCTAATGAGTTTACTGAGAGATCTCAAACAGTTTTGAACACTGCGAAGGACAATATAGAAATAATTGAGTTTCAAGGCATGTGACCTTTGCACTGCCTCTTTGCCAGCTCCGCTTGAGGTAATTCACTCCTGCGTAGGACATCACTGCTGTTTCCGTCCCATTATTCTGCCTGGAGCAGCAGGGCAGCCTTTGCACTGCAAGCTACTGACAGCGTGGACTTCAAGGAGCTCTTGCCGACATTCCTTTTAAATGGCAGCCACTTTGCAACCCTAACTAAGTAATAGTTGTTGCAGGCTCCTGAGTGTTTTGTGTGCCTTGGTCTGATGAACATGGACCGGCCTACTGGCATCTGTTAAATCACCTCTGAAAACAGATTGCTCAGCCTGCTGGGTTTTTGCATCTGTGACAGTGTGGGAGTTTTCTCTCCCCACCCCCACCCTGTGAAAATAATCAAGCGGAGAGTCTTGTAGGGAAATAAACTATTTGGAAAGTGTAGCTTGGAATTATGGAAGAAGCAATTAGATGACAGCATAAGCATGGCCCAATAAAACGGAGATGAAAATGGATGGGCTCAAGAGCTTCCCACTCCTCCAGTGCTCCCCTCCCGTTAGGAAATGTTTTATATCTTCCCCCTGCATTTGAAAAACTCATCAGCACAGCTCTATAATTCCTATGGTTTTTGTAATTGGATATTGGCTTTTGAGAAAGAGGGAGAGAGAATGTGGTGCACGGGCTGTTAACAGATAATTTTTCAACTTTTTACATCCTTTCTGTGATCACAGTAATTAGCCAGCGAGCGTGTTCGTTCCCCAACCCCCCTCCCCCCATACCTTCCTTAGCACAAGCCCCACTTAAGCTATTCTCTCTCTCAAGCTGCTGTATTTATTGCCTTCGCACTTTATTGTTGGGATGGGTTGCATCTGTTTTGAAGATTAGCTCCTGGGGTGCTATTACAATCATTTCCAGCTAAACAGATACTTAAAAAAAAAAACCACCCAAAACCCACGCACGCTGCATTCTTTCTGTTAAGCCCAGCACTTTGCAAGTTCCCAAACAAAGAAACTTTGCCCTGAACAAAATAAGCTTTCCAGTTCATAAGATTATAGGCCTCAGCACAGCTTATCGTTCTGCTGTGATATAGCAGCTGGGATCTAGTAGGGATGGGCTCGGAAAATATTTGTATCTTACACCACAAAAGTACAACTTTTAGATAAGCGGTTCTGAGTAAGGACAGATTAAAGAATGTCATTCTTTTAAAACCCCATTCCACAGAACAGCCCTACTTCCCTTCTGGTTCATTACCTCAAAGTGCAATTTTATTTATTTGTATTAGTGCATTCTGCACGCACACACTCCCAAAGAGCTCAGTACAGTATGATGTATCTCATTATTTTATCCTAACAACCACCTTGTGAGGCGGGTTTGTCAGAGAGAGAAAGAGAGACTTGCTCAAGTCACCTAGTCAGCTTCCAGGCTGCATGAGGTTTCCCCTGTTCCCACCTTATGTTGGCTCTGTTTTCTTTAGTTTTTGTTTCTCTTTTCAGTGCTTTCTAGTAACATTTGAAGTTACCCTAGTTCAGTGGTGGCGAACCTATGGCACGGATGCCAGAGGTGGCACTCAGAGCCCTCTCTGTGGGCACGCGTGCCATTTCTCCCAGCCAGGCCCAGACAATCATTAAAGTGTCGAATTCTCTGCCAAATAATTTTAAGTAAATGAAAGCATTTGAGATTGCTTTCCTGACTTTGTTTGGATCATCTTAAGTTAATGTATGAGTTGTTTTTTCTAAAGTAAAACCTCAGTATTCATGTTAAATTGCCGTGTTGGCACTTTGCGATAAATAAGTGGGTTTTGGGTCGCAGTTTGGGCACTCGGTCCCTAAAAGGTTCGCCATCACTGCCTAGTTGATTAAGGTACAAAGCAGATTGTATCGGTTTGGTTTCACATCAGACTGGGCAATCCTTTTTTTCAAGGATTGATCGTACTTCTGTGTGCGTGTGTCTTGACCACAATAAAAACAGCTAAGTCCAAAACAAAACATTTCATTGCAGGTGATCATCATACCCACCTCAACCTTCATGGCGCTGGTGGTGATGGGTTGGCTGATGATGGCACCAACCTGGAAGAAGGGGAGAACAGTCCAGATGCCCAGCCGCAGCAAGGCCGAAGGATGCGCAGGGAAGCGTGCACTTGCCCGTACTGCAAAGATAATGAAGGAAGGTAAGATTGTGTAGGCGTAGCCTCCCACAAGTTAAAAGTGCCCTATGGTGCAAAAACGTATAAGCAAGGAGGGGTCGATTTGGCTCCAAGTTTCTTGGGTTGCTTTTTAAATTCAGAACAGTGGCACATCCATTATTTCAGAAGCCCCCGTTTCATAAGTGGGAGCTGTGGATTTGAGGTGTTCAAGTTACAGTCTAGCAAAAATAGCTCCCTACAATAATCTTGTGGGTTGTAGTTTGGTTAGAGTTGACATGTTTTTGCTGAAGACTTTTAGTCTCATCTACAGAACATTTCCAGGAATCCCTGGGGAGAAAATGATTAAAATTTCAGTCCGTGGTATAGCTTTGTATTGAGGGTGCAAAGCCAGAAGTTGCCTGTCTGCAGTCTTGTCTACCCTCCTCCACCCTCCCCCTAGAAATGTTGATGTTATGCTGTGTGGGTGGGAGTAATCAGCAAAACTTGGATGTTGCTGGGTATATTTTATAGCCTCACTCTCTTTGGTAGACAAAGCTTTGTCAAGATTACATTGTGTCAACGCTTACAGGGGCCAGGCTTTGTGCCTTTCGCTTCGGTTTGCCATATTAGATAAAGGACTCCTGGCACCTTATGAATAATGGTGCCCATTTTCAAGAACCGGCACTGAGCTTCTAGATCTCTGAGAGCTACTGACAATGCCTGACAATTTCTCCTCTCTTTTTCTGCTCTAGACCTTCAGCCTCTTTACCCACTATGGTGTTTCTTTTTCACTATTTCAGTTCTTTGTCAACAGTGTCTTTTGCAATCCCAGTCCTGCCCTGAAAATTCCAAATTCCACAGCCAAATAATGCAGCTTCTGTGACAAAGCCATGTGTAAATCAAATACATATGCATAATTCAATCTGCTGCAGAAATCTGGTTTCCTTGTTTTGGAAGCTGCTTTACAATTGGCAGCATATGTTCAAGTGAAGTTGTGCGGGAGCCGATGATTATCAGTGGTTAGGAGCTCTGTTATCCTTTGGCTGTCCAAAGAGAAACTCCTTTCATTCTTTTAGGTGTATAATTTCACTTTTTGACTTACCAGAGACGCTTGAGGTGGTTTGCAATTAATCAAACACCGGTTTTTAAACCTTTCAGCACTATTGCCTAAAATAGCGTTAAAAGATTCAAGTGGAAATGTTTGAAATGGGGAGGGTTGCCCATTTATATGTTCCTAAGCTTATGGAATAAGTTGTGCTACAAATCTGCATGGCAGAAATGGCAGGTGAAACATCTGACCACCAGCTTGAGAACCTGAATGGAGCTCTGGTTAAGTGGCCTGATCACTTATATTGTTGTAACTGGTGGCTCAAGAACTAAGAGGTCCCTGTAATGTAACAGGGCCCCCAAAAGTAAGTTATAATTTAAGGGAAAAAGCCGTTGTTTATCATATGTCTGTGTAGCACCAGAGTTCTGGTTTCAAGCTCAAAGCCGACAAATCAGGAAAATTCAGAGGTGGTAGGGAAAGCAAGTTCCCCATGAGGATAAGTTGTCCTTGCTGGCTTTTGTTAGCTTAATGATTTTCGAAGGCCTTGAGAAAATTTTCAGGCTTGATAAAAAAGGATGTCTGAAGTAGGAGATCAGGTCTGCTGAGGGGCCAAGATGTGGCACTATCTGCTTAGATATTGCTGGAGACTGGGTCTGGGTTAAAGCATGAAGCACACGGTGTTCAGTAGTGCCATGCGCTGGTAAGGGAAACAGAGTCCTGTTATGGAAAGCTTTGAAGAAGAAGAATCCCCCAGATACTTAGGTTTAGCCTCATTCTTTCCCATCTAATGGTGGATGGTCCACACATTGGTGGGAATGCACGTTCATGAGTCTCTTTCCATTTGTTTTGAAATCCTCTAGGAGGGAGTAGACTGTCTTGCCAGCAGCATTTTTTTTAAAGCACCCTGCTGTAATGACTGTGGGAGCAGTTGCTCTCCCCTAGTAGGCAAAAGCAGCTGATCTCAGAGTAAGCCAGACATGGCTGTCTTCATGAATGAATGAATGAATGAATGAATGATGTTTATTTACGGTCAAAGCCTATTTGTCAAAATAATACATATTCGTTAAATACAAACAGATTAGCTTTCAGTCCAAAAATATATATTTAGACAAGTGTTCCCCCTAAGCTGAGTTAGTGTGAGCTAGCTCACAGTTTTTTAGCCTCCAGCTCACACATTTTTGTCTTAGCTCAGGAAGGACAGCTCCAGAGCAAACTAATTTATGCAGGAGCCAAATCGCTCGCTCACAACTTTCATGCCAGTAGCTCACACAGTAGATTTTTTGCTCACAAGACTCCAAAGGTTAGAGGGAACATTGAAGACATATAACCTTAAAACCATTAAAATGTTAAAAAATAAAAAGTTTAACAGTCCATTATATCAGAATAACTATGAAAATGTCTAAAACTAAACTAATTATAAGTCATGCAAAAGGTGATTGAGGGTTTTTATTGTGGAATTTTATCAGCTGAAAGCAGAATTTAGCTATTTGTCTGGAGTTTTGCTGGTTTTCCTCTGTCAGAAGTCTCTACATCAGCACTATCTGCATCAGGTGCTGGCCTATCTAAGAGGGGGGAGATAAGCTTATCCCTATAAACTTGATGAAAGGGGCGGCGAAAGAACATATGGGGCATTGATTCCACGTCTCCCAAGGAACATGGGCATGGCTGTCTTCAAAAAACTGTCTGTTGGTGGCCAGCCCAGATCTCTGTATTGACAGTGCTGTCTCCTCCTTGCCACGAAGGAAGAGGGATGGGCAAGCAAGCTTTGTTCTCTGTTCAGTTCTGACTTTTATGTGTACTCCTTTTCTGCAGGAGCTCTGGGGATCCAGGCAAAAAGAAACAGCATATCTGTCACATGCCAGGCTGTGGGAAAGTGTACGGGAAGACGTCTCACTTGCGAGCTCACCTTCGGTGGCATACCGGGGAGCGGCCCTTTGTGTGCAGCTGGACGTTTTGTGGCAAGCGCTTCACACGCAGCGATGAGTTGCAGCGACACAAGCGAACCCACACAGGTAACTGGAAGGAGCTGTTGGGGCTTGGGCAGGAAGCAGTACCTGGTGACACGAAGAGAAGCCCATCCTTATAGAAGAGGCCTTTGTGCACAGCATTTCTTTTATCTTTGCCCGATCATTCGCTCAGGGTAAACTGTAGCCCTTTTTAGGCACATGGTTGGTGTTTTCTCTGCAGTCTCAATCCCTGGGGTGGGTCCAGTCATCCTTTAAGAAGCCTTCCACCAGCCTAAGGAGCCGTTCCCTAATTTTTAAATTCCTTCAACAGAAGAGCCACTTAAGTTGAAGGAAAGCTTCAGTCTTTGCTCAGTGGAGTGATAGGCTAAGGGCCCACCCGGCTATCTGGAGTAAGCACATTGAATATTAGCAAGTTCCATGTTTGTTCATGGCTGCTTTCTGGTATGTAGCAGTAGCATTCCTTTCTGGGTAGTACCCATTCAGACTGCTTGTGTATGTGTGTCTTCGCTCCCGTACAAGCTGCATGTCTGAATGCTGTTCCCTGAAAGCAGCTCCCTGCTCATAGAAACCAACGTGTCGGAGAGAAGGGTTTTACCCTAGCCTTCTCCTGCTCTTGCTAGACCTTTCCATACAGGAGTGAGTTGGTTTTTTAAAAATGGAGGAGACGAAGTGCAGCATAACAGCTGCATATATGTGGGGATGGACGTGATTAGATTGTGAGGGGGGGGGGTCACGTGTGGTATGCTGGGGTTAAAAACTCCCTAGGAATTAACCTAAAGAGCAAGGAGCAGTAACTTTGTCTGATTCAGAATCGTTTACAAAAAAGAGGGGGGAGACTACTCTAGGGGGTCATCCAAGGTTAAGTAGCTTTTGTGGTTCACATACTTGCATGCACACACAACTCTGCTGCATAGCGTTTTCCCAAGGCCGGTCTCATCTAATGGGGGGGGGGGCAGAAAGAAGAGAGAGTATTCCAGAGCTCCTTAATGATGTTTGGGTTTTTTTGTACTCTGGAAGCAACTGCTGTACAGTCCTTACTAGTGGGTGAGCAGTCTTCCTCCCTCTAATGGGGGCAGAGGCATCCTGGGAACCAGTGAAGGAATGCTCTAGTGCACGTAATGGATCGGAGGGCAAGTACCTCCTTAGAAGCTACTACTTCACTTTTGTCCGAGTTGCATTCACAGGGGTGGAAAATGGTCAATAAAATCAGTAAAAGTCAGTTTTTTCATCTTAATCAGTAATTTGTCGGTTTTTTAAAAAATTAGTCAGTAAAGTCAGTATTTCTTTGATTTTTGTGAATGCAGTTTCTGTTTTCATTACTGCATTTTTTGGGTAACATGATGACTTCCCAGTGAGAAGACAGATTGTTCTCAGTTTAGTTATGATGTACTTTAAAGACTTTGTTCCTAAGAGTAAAAGTGTGCAGTGCAGAAAACTGTTGGCTCAGTCGTCTCAGTCTGAGCCAACCAGCCACAGCTTGCAATGTCCGGTCCAGATCTTCCGGTTTGAAGTCTGACTGGCTGCCCAACAACAGATAGAGCTGGGTGTCATCTGCATACTGGTGACATCCCAGCCCTGCCTCCGGGCAATGGGGCGCATGTAGATGTTAAATAACATTGGGGACAGCACTGCCCCTTGGGGCACTCCACAAATCAGTGGGTGCCTTTGGGATAACTGCTCCCCTAGTGACACCCTTTTCCCCCCAACCCTGAAGGAAAGAAGCCAGCCATTGCAAGGCAGGCCCCTGGACTCCAGTGTCGGCGAGGCAGTGGATCAGTAACGAATGGTTGACCATGTAGAACGCTGCCGACAGGTCCAACAGCAACATCACTGCCAAACCGCCCTGATCCAGATGCCTCTGGAGGTCATCCGTGAGGGTGACCAGTGCCGTCTCTATCCTGTGGCCTGGGCAGAAACTGGACTGAAAAGGATCTAGAATGGAAATGTCATCCAAAAAGCTCTGTAGCTGAATTGCCACAACTGTCTCAATCGTTTTGCCCAAATTGGGCAGATTGGAGACTGACCAGTAATTAGCCAAGTCAGCCAGATCCAGATATGGCTTTTTCAGGAGGGGACGAACCACAGCTTCCTTGAGTGCCCTATGGAACTGTCCCTCCAAGAGGGGCTTGTTGATAATCTCCCTTAGGGCATCTCGAAACCCATCATGGCCAGCTTTAATTAGCCATGATGAGCATGGGTCAAGGCAGCACGTGGTAGGGCGTAAAGTTAAGAGCAGTTTGTCAGCTTCCTCCAAGCTGAGCGGACTGAAATAATCCATAACCTGACTAGAAGACGTGCATGGAGCCTCGAGTTCACTTACTGTCTCAACTGTGGTGAGGAGGTCACAGTGGAGCGACAGGACTTTATCTGCAAAGTAGCTCTCAAAGGCCTCACAGCTAGTAAGCCTGAGTAAGCACTGGGAAGGTGATTAAGATGCACTTTCAAAAACCATTTTTTAAAAGTATAGCCAGCCAAAGGAATATGCAGATGGTGCAAGGGGAAGATTGATGGACGCAGAAGGTGCAGTGATGTCCTACACATGTCCTGTTGTGTATGGATGGCACCCAAAGCCCAGGTCTCTCCCTGCAGATCTTAAGAAGTGAGGTGGGGAGGTAATGTGGGAGAAGGCTTCTCTTGAGCTACCCTGGGCCCCAGGCATTTAGGATTTTAACACTGGGTTTGGAAGCCAACAACTAGCTAGTACATTTGAGCAGGAATTGGTGCGATACATGCGCTGGATCTTGTCGCCTTACAAGCACTCGCACTCCTTGCTATCTGTTCAGTTTTCAAAAGCAGCCCAGGCTAGAAGCATCTTGCAGTAGTCCAGCATGAAGAATGTGAATAACTGTAGCCTGACTTAATTTTCCACTGACAGGTAAGGGGTGGGGTAATTCCCACTGATTCCCCTTTACTGCTGCAGACGCTCCCCCATTTGCCTGTCATGGTATTCCTGAGAATGCCCAGGAAAAGCGTTTTGGGGTGATCAGTGGGCTGCCACTGGAAGGGTGGAGGCAGGAACCCTCTGAACGGCTGATAGAAGTGCCTTGCATGAGTGGAAAGTTTAGCTTGGATACAGCCCATGGGTGGCCAAATCCTAGCTTCTTAAAAGCAAGCACTTCTGAGATCGCTGGCCATCAAGTGTGGAGTGGGCCTGTGCAAATTTCTTGCTGATTTTCTTGCTGATTGCTTCCATTCAGGAGAGAAGAAGTTTGCCTGCCCAGAGTGTCCCAAACGCTTCATGAGGAGCGACCACCTCTCCAAGCACATCAAGACCCACCAAAACAAGAAGGGAGGTGCACCCAACAGCATGTCCATGGATGTCTCTACCATCTCCATGGATCCGGGCGCATCTGCGGAAGGCGCTGCCGGGGCAACACCATCCGCCCTCATCGCTACCAACATGGTGGCCATGGAGGCGATCTGCCCTGAAAGCATTGCACGCCTGACCAGCAGTGGCATTAACGTCATGCAAGTGGCAGACCTTCAGTCCATCAACATCAGCGGCAACGGATTCTGAGGCAGCGGTGGCTGCACTTTGGAGGCGTTGTGCAAATGCGGGATTCTCAAGGTAGCGATGGGTCCAAGAGATCAGGTCTTTTCACTGCGCATGTGGTGGAAGACGGGGGACTCAGCTGCTCCGCCAGCCCTCCAAATTCCCAGTTTGGTCTCCCAGGAATGCTACGTGCAGAATAAGGCCTGCTGCTGTTGAGGGTGGCCCTCAGATGCCTGGTGTTATTTACCTGGGGGATCAGGGATGGGCCAGAGCTCCTTGACTCATTTATATTGCTCTCATCCCCCCCCCCCCTTTCTAAAAGTCTCTTCACCCTCCCTACTAGGTACCCCAGATGCCATCATGCCTTGGTTCTAAATGTATATGATCACTGAAATACTTTTTAGCAGAAAAAAATTCTATATTATTATTATTATTGTAATTATATAAAACTATAAAATATTTCTTTTTTTTCCTTTTTTTCTTTTTTTTTTTTTTAGAGGTTAAAATTGCTGTGACCAAAGTCTTTGGTCGTCGTTCAGATGCCTTAACTTTGAACTCTTGAGCTGTTAGGCGGCGCTCAGGCTTATGTTGAGATGCTATATTGCATTTTACATTGTAACTATATAAAAATATAAATTTAGCTTTTTTGTATGCTTGGCTTTTAGATTTGAGTTTTTCTTAATTATTTGGGCAAAATTCCCAACTTCGCTCTTTTTTTTTTTTTAACCTGTTCTTTAAAAAAACAACAAAGTAATTTTTCTCTATTTGGAGAGAAATGTATTCATGAAATCCACTGTCTGTCTGTTCTCGTGTACATTCGCACCAGCTATTTCCTGAGAGGTAAGGGTCCATGACCCACAATAAGACCCAAGTTTTATAGGGGAGTGAGTGAGGTGGCATGGAGAGATGAGCAATAGAAATATCCGTGTTTAAAGAGAGCTTGTCCCCGCAGTTCCCTTTTAAGGCAACCCAGATGCCCTGGGTTTGGTGGCACCAGTGGGGGGCGAGGGTCCTTTTCAGCTTCTTGTAGCCAAACTCGCAGAACTGCAGTGGAAATAAGGCCCGGTTAATCTGGTGCCCACCCAGTTAGCAATATGCCAGATGAATTTTGTGGACCGTTGCCTTTTTGTTTGTTTGAAAAAGTGGGGTTTTCCTATGTATTTGGATTGCCCAGCTCAGGAAATTTGTGGAACAAGTTGAAGCTTTGTGGCCTGGGTTGGAGTGGGGGGAGGTCCAGTAGTGAATGCTCTGCAGTCATGTAATAAGGGGACTTGCACATGGGAATTTTTAAAGATCAAGCCCCTGCATTGCTATGGAACACTGTAAGCACTTCTCCAGCTCTGTCCCACCCACATTAGGAAGTGTTGTTCAGTAACACAGTGAGGCCAATCATTGTACACTCACACACACCCTCCTCCTTCTCCCAAGTCACCATTTTGTCTTGTGAACCTTTTCAGCATCTTAGTCCCTTTCACTTGTCTTGTTCTCTTATTGATTATGCATGTCCATCCAGGCACAGCAGGTAGGATCATGTTGCTGACAGTCACCACGAGCAGTCACCTATAAGGCCCAGTACTGAAGGGGAAGGGAAAATGCGGGGACTGGTTGGAGGCACTTGCTTTCCAAGCCACCAGTACAGGTATAAGATCTTTATGGCCTCGACTTCTGAACAGTCCTCTTGACAATTTTGGCATTTGCCCAAAGCCGTAGTGGTTGGTGTTCTGCGGCTGTTCTAAGAGAGGTCTGTCCAGTGCCGTAGTAAGAGGGCATATTGCACCTTCACTCTCTTCCTGCTGTTTTTCTCCCAGCTATTAAAAAGGCAAAACAGAAGCCCAAACCAAATCAGCTACTCTCTAGATAGATTCTTCCCTGGAAAAGAGTTGTGCTGCTTCCAGTGAACTCTGAGCAAACAGCAAATCTCAAATTGCAAGGCAATGACAGAGTTAAGAAATTTCACAATGCTCCTTCCTCTTAAGATTTCTTCTACAGGAGTTATGGATGGTTGACCCTTTGGTGCAGTCACCCTCCTTTTTCTTAGAATGTTCAAGAGGGGGTCACAAATTGGGGCCAGTTTTAGTAGCTGGACATTATTTTTGTTTGCCGATGTTCTGCCTGTAGGCTGTGCTTTTAATTGTGCTCCTCGAACAACCAAGTTGCATCTCCCCTGTCCCCCGGCGTGGCCCAACACTCCCAACTCTCCATCTCACCAATGGCCTCCTCTCTTATCTGCCAGCTCTCCCTGGTTGGGTCACCACCCTGCTGGACAACACTAGGAAACGTATACTGTGTGCCAAACAGCCAACTGGAGCCTCCCACACTATGTGTTCTGCCCCTGACTATCTGATCTTCATGCCAACTGTAGCCACGTAACAGGACCGGACCAGAAAAGTGTTTTTGTGGGACAAGTGAGGAAGGAACCGAACACCTCTATTGAGCCTGTAACTGTGTGCATCTCTGGTGCTCGCTTAGCCTAGCCGGGTGGCGAGTTGCACTGGCATCATCTTCTTCCTCTTCAGGTTTTGTAAGGACGTTCAGCAGTGATGAGCACAAATGGAAACCTTTAAGATAAAGTTATCAGGTGGTATAGCAGTGCTCCGCTTGCTCTCATCCTTTAAATTAAAGAAGGGAGGGGACACCCTTGAAATCTGCCATAAAAGACAGAATTGTGTGTGTTGAGAGTTTTGCGGCAGAGGTGGAGGAGGACATCAGTGAAAAGGAGGACATCAGAACCACGTCTGGCTGCTGTGTTGCTTCACTCCCATTTTATGAGCCTTACAAAATGGAGCTCTTCATACCAGCACAGAAAACGGGGTGCAAGCATCCCAATGTCTTGTCTTTTCCCCTGCCCTTCGACCCAGATGTTCTTGCATGTGTCGGTGTGCACTAGGATCCCAAATCCCTCAAAGAAGCCTTGGTATCAAAATGTGGTAAGCATGGGCCCAAAACTCCCTGCAGTCACTTATATAAAAGACCCCAGATTGCAGTTTTAAAAGGTAATCTTATCAAAAGTAAATACATTGTCTGCATTTCAAATCTGCCAAAGAAAGACCATTGAAACTTTTACAAGCTTATCTCCTAAGTAGCACAAGCCCAGTTGTGCCAGATGAAGTGAACTTCCCCGAGTCATTGTTTCCCCTCCCTAACAAGCATAGAGGGTAGAGTGGGAGGGAGAGCTGGCAGAGATTGCCCTCCCCTGCCAACAGGAAAACCATGCTATTGGCAGAACTGTTGTTTCACTTACAACAGCAACTCAAGTTCCAGCCCAGAGTGGCAAATGTTATGCACTTAGGCAAGTTGTTCGGTTTTAGTTTTAGTTTTCTTAAGATGGGGAGATAATACCGTTTGTTGAAGTGTTTCTGATCTCTGTGCTAGACCACATGATATGGCATTCAGTGAATGGTCTTGCTAGCAGATAAACTTGTTGGCACAGAACCCCAAGGGGAATGTTTGCCCAAGACTGCCTGCAGAGTTTCTTCTCTGAATCGAGTGCTGTTTCAAAAAGGAGAGGGGTGTTCTCACACAAATCTTTGGGAGCACTCTTAAACCAGAGTTCAAAGTTCCAAAGAAGCAGGGATTTCAGAAGCTTGACTGTTCATCCAGCAGTCCAAATCTGCTTTTACAATGTTGGATTTTAGGATTCCATCAAGGACAAGGTAACAATTCTGTTACTGAACTTAACTACTGAAGCATTCCTTGGGATGCTGGAGAGTGGGAGGGAGTAGCTTTTTCTACATGAATTTAAGTACCAAATGGCAAGCAATTATATAAAACCAAAAGCACCAGGCCTTCATCTTCTTTCTCCCTTTTTGCTTCCCGTTGCTTCAGATTTATTGTGACTGAAATGTCTTGCAGATGTCCCTCTTTTTATTTGCTTGCCATCAAAATACCCTTTGCCAGGAGCCGTATGTCACATCCAAGGATGGCTGTGAAAAGTGTTGATTTCCAATTAATGTCCTCATTTTCCGACTCCTTACTTCCCACAAAAGGAATTAATAGACCCCTGGGAGGGGCATGGCAGAGTGATGTTTCCTGGTCGCTCTTCTTGCGGCCTGCCACTGGCAACCCGAGCCTAGTGCCTTGTCTGTCTGCACAAAAATTACTATTCATGGTTCTTATGCACATGTTCTGTAACTAAAGGAACCTGAAATTCTTTAAATCTTTATGACGTTTTCTTTGTTATTCCAAATGGGGGCAGTTGGCATGTGGAAAGAATTCTGGCTAGCGGCTAGAACTTCTGTCAGTGTTAGGTTGTCAATGTGAGCACAGTTTGTGCTGCTGCAGATGGCCCTTCCAAAGATTTATGGGTCTTTTCTCATTTACGTTTTCCATGTTTCAAGAGCAATACTGCTCAGTTTACAATTCCTGCAGGGGGCCACCTTGTCTGCAAAGCAGACTTAAAGTGTATTCTGGCAGGGAAAGAAACTGAGCAGAAACTGTGAAGCAAGCATTCACGCTGAGAAAGGGAAAAGCTCCTATAACTTTCCTCAGTTGATTCCTATCCCCTTTCTTTCCTGCATTGTATATTTAAAGTGAAGACACTTGTATTTTTATATAATCTATAAGTCCTTAGAAACTGCAGTTGCATTGGAAGGGCAGCGTTTCGCAAATACTGAAAATTCCAGATCCCTCAGTAGAACACAGTATTAATTTCCTAAAAGTTCTGCAAAACTGCCTTGCCGAGACCCCCTGGTGGTATTTCACCTGCTTACCTGCACTACCAGCTCTTTGTGCACACCTTTCTGTAAGAATTGAAGCCCAGGACAAACCAAGGTGATATCTGTCCATGTCCAAAGGCTCTTTCTGTCCGTTAGCTGAGCTTTCGGGAGGTGGTGTCTCTCCAAAGGCTGTTCTTTAAAACCGTTCCTTTCCTATCCTCTCTCTGCTATGGAGAAGGAAGCCTATATATTCAACTTGGGCAGTATCCCACATCCCCATTATAGCTCCATTGTCTGAAGTAGGTTATTAAGTAAAATAGTATCAATAGACTTTAAAAAATCAGTGCGGGGTGTGTGTCAATAAATCTCCTGTTTTGGGATCTTTAACTTAAGAAATTAGCATAAAGTTGTGATGGCCTCAATTGTCTCTGCATGGTAGGTTAGCTGTCTGGCACTCTTAGTAACAAGCCATGCCTTGATTACAATCCTATGTACAGTCGAACTCCCGTCTAGAGCTTGCTTGGAATCCAGCCTGTGTCTTTAACCATTCTCAAAATTTCTCCTCTGTTGCCAAGGTGGATTTAAACTGCTACCTATGAGTATTCCTCTCCCCCCCCCCCCATGAGGATTCTAATTCTCCATATCTTACCTTCTAGCCACACCTCCTTGTACCCAGCTCCTAATGCCCAGCACATGAGCTTCTGGGGAACTGTGACCTTGCTCCCACAGCGATGTCTTCATCTTAGCCAAAAGTGCCCCTTCCTTTTGGATGAGGGATGTAACTGCCAAAAGCTTCTGGTG